TGAACCTGTTCCATAGGAATTGTCAGAATCTAGGACATAACTGCCGTCAACTGAAAAGGAGATTTGTGTCTATTTTTATTTCTTTTACCTTATTCTACCTTTGGAAGAAAGTGGTAAGTGATGATCTTTTACTTTTTCCAATGATCACTTGGTTGTATTCTGTTTTTAATATTGTTTTAGTCAAAATTCTTTGCATGTATTTCCCTAACTATTGTGATATTGTCAATTCAGCTTTGGATATTTGCATATCCATAACCCTTCTGCTGGTTAATGACTGCAATAAAGTTTTTCAGTTTTAATTATATTCTCTCTAAAATATATCTGCAGGCTCTATACAAAGCTGTCGACTTTATTACTGTGCTTTTTTCTATGGGTGCAACCCTGGCAGAGAGATAAATCCATTGTCTTTTCTTCAGTGCCCCATGTCAAGCTTGAGTCTAAGATATTGCTACAGGAGCTCCTGGAAAGGTTGACCATTCTACTTATACATAGCGTTGGCAGCAATTTTTTTTCCCTTTGAGTCAGTGTTGAGTCCTGATGACTACATGAAGTAGTCCCTGCAGTTTTCTTGGCAAGGTTTCAGAAGTGGTTTGCCATTGCCTCCTTCCTGGGGCTGAGAGAGAGGGACTGGCCCAAGGTCACCCAGCTGGCTTTGTGCCTCAGGAGGGACTAGAACTCACAGTCTCCCGGTTTCTAGCCTGATATCTTGACCACTACCCCAAACTGCCCTGATGTAATACAATTTCTGCAATTGGGTGGAGGGGTTGGAGGAGAGAGATCCCTCTTCAATTTTCCCCTTTATCTGTACAATTCTATTTCTGGATTTCTATTTCTTTTATTCTCAGTCTTTTGACTTTCTGGAAACACCCATGACAACTTCCTTTTCACTGTGTCAGGAGACTAAACACACACACACACGCGCGTGCACACACACACAAAATTTGAATACTCATTTTTTAAATCTTTCATACCTAGAGATTTGGCAGAATTCAATAATTTGTGATTTTAATGTTCTCCAGGTACCTGAAGTTCATTTTTTTTCTCCCAGCCACATGAGGCTGTTTCCCCAGATAACAGTTTCCTGTTATTGTAACTATTACAAAACATGTTTTTTCAAATGCATTGAAGGGATATATATCCAGGATCATCACCAGATGACCACAACCTGACGCTTTTATTTGCAATCATGAAAAAAGATAACGGTGGAATAGTTGTGATAAAAGACTCAAGATATAGGATGTTGAATGTCTCTCCATGAGTATCACAAAATGTCCAACCATTGTCCATCCAAATTGTTCTTAGCACAACCCACTCCTTTTTCAGGTTTGTGAAAAAACAGCTGGTTAACTGCCAATGTTAATGATTTTTTCCCCATCTTTGAAAAACAGTATTCTACTCTTAAAGGGAAACAAACTTGATATATCTGGTTGAACATGATGAGTTAAGTAAGGAAAAATTTAACTAAATATTTTGCCCTTTAGATCATATTTTATGCAAAAAAGACATTAGATTTCTGAGCTTCATTTTGGGGATATATAAAACAAAGTAAAAACAATATTGATTTTTTTTTTAAAGAAAAGAAATAAAATGGACCTTGTCATTAAACAGTTGAATTCCTCAAGGACTAAATGAGGACGTTCAGTATCTTGATTTTGATTCTTGGAGTTCACAGTTTTTCCTTCCCTTCCTTCTCCCCTCTTCATTTTCACAGAATTCACCATAAGAAAATAGTTTTTTTCCCCTAGCTCAGCCTTAGGTTCATCCAAATAAATCTAGTTTGTTTCTTCTTTAAGAATAGAACATTTTTATACATAAAAAAATGACGATAGTTGTTAAACAGCTGTTCCTTCTCTAAGTAAGCTGGCTGGGGATTTTTAATCCATATATTTTCATCCGTGACACAAGTAATAGGTCTGCATTATTTTAAATAAGCTTTTTTTTTTTTTTGCTTTAGTCTTTTTAATTAGAAAAAGAGAGGAAATGTTTCGGCATTTATTTGGGATTAGTTGCAGAAACTGAGAATGTAAACATATAAGTAAGTGTTTTTTTAAGGCATGGATTTAATTAGTGTAGTCTTCCTTTCTAATTGCCGTTATTCCCCATCTGAGAACAAGCTAGTCATGGGGAAGGTGGTGGTGGTGCTTGAGACCAATCCCACCTTCCAGCCCCCAGTATTTTCCCTGATACCACTCACTGCTTTTTGGCTATTGCTACCAAATGCCAGGTTGGTGAATAATAACGCTGCCCTCATCCATTATTTGATTGGTGATGAAGCAGCCAAGTTGTGATGTATATCTAAGATCTAGGTGAACTCAGAGGGGGATGTTCTCCTCTGTGAAATATGCCCACATGGGTTATGAGTCTGGGATGGGAGTAGGGGGGTGAAGTGGCGGTTGACATTTGGGAAGCCCTATGTTGTTATGAAAGCGCGAGGGTCAACATGAAATAAAAATAAAACAAAATAAATCATCGATCGGATCCAGAATTTGAAGTAGCTGACCCTTAAATATC